GGTTACCATTTGTTAAGGGTGCCTTTGGAGAGCCCAGACTGTTCCTGATCTTTTTCCCGAGTCACCTCATTTCTTTATCACGGAAAAGCCCCGCGAGACCCGCGTGGCCTCACTCATTTTACGCAGAAGGAAGCCGAGGCGTAGAGCGGTTTGCTCAGGTTTACAGGGTGTGAGTGGACGACCAAGGGTCGGGACGGGTCTTTTCCCACCGAAGCCCCGTGATTTTCAACACCCCTTATTTGTCTTTAGTGATGATCCCTCCGGTTCTCCTCTCTTGCTGGACCCTCCTCTGGAGCCAAGCTGGCCGGTGCTGGGCCAGCTGCCCCTCCCCCAGGTGCCCCGTGCCCCTGCCAACGCCTGCAGGCTAGTGGTTCAGGGACCCTGCCTGCGCTGCGACTCCCCAACTGCTAACTCCAGTCCCACCCGAGACGCAAATATTACGCCTGTCCAGTTGCTTGCTCAGCACGCCGTGCTGCCTGATGAACACTGTGAACTTAACAGCCTCTGAAAGAGTTTATGATGCTCCTGGAGCCTGTGCTTCAGCAGTTGTCATCCCAGCAACTGACGGCAGCTCCATCTCTCCACTTGCTCAGCGTCAAAACCTTGATGTCACTGTTGACTCTTTTTCATGCAAAACCAAGTCCAATCAATTGAAATTATACTGACTTTATCTTCAAGATATATCCAGAAACGAACCACTTTCACCGCCACTGCTATAACCTCCTGCAAGCTGCTGTCACCTCCTGTCTGATTTGTTGCATTGGCTTCCTCACTGGTCTCTCCAAAGTCTATTCACAGCCCCAAGGTGATCCTCTTAGAACCCAAGTCAGATCATGACATTATGTTTGCTCAAAACTTCCACAGGTTTCCCATGTCATTAGAACAAAAGCCCGCACCTCACGGTGGCCCCCAAGCTGCCACGGTCTGTTTTGTGCCCTTTGCTGTGTCCGCATTGCTAAGAACAGTGCTCAGCTGGCAGCAGGCACTCAGCAAGTACTTGTTGAATAAATGAATTTATCAGATACCTCATTGTTTACCAACTTTTTATATATACTCTGGTCATTTATCTTTACTATAGCCTCATGATGCAGGGATTATTATATGTGTCTTACAGATCAGTAAAATGAGGCAGAGGGAGGCAGACTTGCCTGAGGTAACACAGCCAGTTGATGGTAGAGGCCAGAGTAGCTCAGACTGGAGCTTTCTGCTCTGTAGCTGGCAAAGCATGAAAGTTACAAAGTCCTGCACAAGGAATGTCAAATAATAGCTAGTCTGTTGTAAAGATTAAGTGAGATAAATGTAAGGCACTTAGTACAGTGCACAACATAAGAAACATGAGGCCTTGCTATTACTTTTATTAGTAAATTATTATTAGTTGTTGATGCTGGTAGTTGGAGGGGGTTCGGGGCAGGGAGCAATGGCTAGAGATAGTTTAGGAAAAGTCGTGTGGACCTTGAGAAAGAACTTATCTACCAAGAAGGGCTCCAGTTGGCTACTGAGGCTCAAATTTAAAAGCATAGCCTAGCAGCCCTTTCTAAACAGGGGCCTTTCACGCAAGCCACACTTCAGGGAGAAGCCTGTTCTGAACTGCCTGCCTCTGCTGCATTTCTGATTTCTGAGCCAACCCTTATAAAGGAGCTCCTGGAATTGTATTTCAGCCAATAGGACTGAGGCTTTCCCCATCCAATCAGAGCTGTGCAGCTATATCCCTGCCAACATCTTCACTGGCCAATCAGAGCAGCTCCATTTTGATCAATCAAATGTTTATTAGAAAACATTTTATTAGCCAGATAGTTATTAATTAGCACTAACTACTTCCATATCCCACATAAAGGTGGATTATCCCTTTTTCCAGTTCCTGAGAACAGTTGTGCTAACTGCAGAAGGCCTGGAGATGTGCAGATTAGAGAAGCAGAGAATCGAATAAAGATGAATTTTAAAAAGGAGAGAGATGAAAGTCACAAATTAAAGGGGTGTGGGTAGCCAAGAATGGACAGAGTAGGAGGAAAGGAGAGATGCAAGAGACAGAAAAGATAGGAGATGGGGAGGCGGAGGAAGAGTAAAGGGAACAGGAGGAAGAGGAGAGGAGACAGGCAGGGTTCTGTGCCTTCTATTTGTTAGTATAATTCTAGTCAATACTTACTGAACACTCGTTATGTGCCAGGCACTGTTGGAAGCCTCTCGTTCAGTATTCCTGTGGTATGATTGTACTGGAGCATTTGCTCTGACCTTCTTGGACTTTACAGCCCTGCCAACTGCTGTGTGACTTTCAGTGCCTCCTAGTGAATGACGCCCCATCCCACTTATGTTGACTTTATGTGTGAATAGCATTGGCCCACTGCATGTGAGTGGACACGAAGTATATCATGTCCCAGAAGAAGCTTTGAATCCCTGTGTCTGCCACCACCCTGTCCTTTCCCTTTGCCTTGAGAATACTATGTGCCAAGTAGGGGCTGCTCTTCAGTCTAGGGCCCGAGAGAAGACACGTGGAGCGGAGATCCATATGCCTGCCTGCAGCCACTTATAGCCACACATAACATGAGAGAAAAATGCTCTGGTTGTAGTCACTGAGGTTTTTGGTGTTATTTGTTACTGTAGCAAATCTGACTGATACACTTCCCACAACTTTAAGAGGTAGGAACTGTTACTGTCCTTATTTACAGGTGAGAAAATGGAGGCAAGTAACTTACCTAAAGTCACACATTCACATGACAGAGCCAGACTTTGCTTTAACCTCTACAGGATAGTATCTCTCAAATGGGGTTCCAGGTTATTTTTAAACAAATTACATTATTGAAAATGGGACACATATTTACAAAACACAGAAGACAAAGGGGGAGAGAGTGGGACAGAGGGATAGGGCAGCAAAGACAGGCTATGCCACCACCTCCTAACAGCACGTCTTTCTAGGGAAACTGGGTTGAGACCAGACCCCTTAATGGCTGGGGCTTCTCTGGAACAGTACCCAACAGTGTGCCCTTGAGTCCTGTGCTATTTGAAAGGCTCATTCTAAGAAGAAGAGGTTTCTGGGCTGAGAAAAGTCCTGGTAAGACAGCGTCCTTTTACTATGGTTTGGTCCTCTGCATTCCCACTCCACTGTATGTGCATGAATGGAAAGAGGAGGGGGAGGGAGAGAGAGAAGGAAGGAGGGAGGCAGAGGGAGAAGGAGGGAGCACCGCTGCCCTGGGTCTGCAGTTAGAAGCAATGCAAGGAATGCCAGTCACATGTGTGGCCCAAGTGCAGTAACAAGAGTGGTCCATGTCCCATGAAAGTAGCCTGAACAATGGTTCTATCCACCAACCTGCA